AGGGGTAAGAAACCAGTAGGCTGCAAATGGGTCTACACAATAAAGTATCATACAGACGGAACAATTGAGAGATATAAAGCTCAGTTAGTTGCAAAGGGCTTCAATAAGACCTATGGAATTGATTATCTGGAAACATTTGCTCCAGTTGCCAAGATGAACTCTATACGTGTTCTTCTATCTTTGGCATCTAATTTGAATTGGCCCTTACATCAGCTGGATGTAAAGAATGTTTTCCTTCATGGTGACTTGGAGGAAGAGGTGTACATGACTATGCCACCAGTTTAAGCTTGCCAATGGTCAAAATTTAGTGTGCAAGCTAAATAAAGTCTTGTATAGGTTAAAGCAATCGCCACGAGCTTGGTTTGAGAGGTTCAGCACTGCTATAAAAAGTGTAAGGTACACACAGAGTCAGGCAGACCATACTCTCTTCATCAAGAAGCACCAGGGCAACACCACTGCCCTTGTTGTATATGTTGATGATATTGTTATCACCGGAAATGATCCAGAAGAGATTCGTCGAATGAAGTCATTCTTAGGGTCAGAGTTCAAGGTTAAAGACCTCGGATCATTGAGATACTTTCTTGGTATCGAGGTATGCAGATCAAAGAAAGGGGTGTTCATTTCTCAACGAAAGTATGTGTTAGATTTGTTAGGTGAAGCAGGCAAGCTTGGAGCTAGACCTATTGATATTCCCATTTAGCAGAACCATAGGCTTAATGATATAGATGGAGACCCATTAGATGATGTGGGAAGATTTCAGCGATTGGTTGGGAGACTAATTTACTTATCTCTCATGCGCCCGAATATTGCCTACGCTATTATTGTGATTAGTCAATTTATGTATGCTCCACGTACACCTCACCTTGAGACAGCTCATCATTTTCTTTGCTACCTCAAGGATTCACCTGGTAAGGGGATATTGTTTGGCAGTCATGGCCACTTGCGTGTTGAAGCCTATACTGATACTGATTAGGTAGGGTTTATGACAAATCAACAATGCACTTCAGGATATTGCACATTTGTTGGTGGTAATCTTGTTTCATGACGAAGTAAAAAACAGTCTGTAATAGAAAGATAGATCTAGTGCAGAGGTTGAGTTCAAATCCATGGCATATGGAGTTTGTGAGTTCAACATGACAGCACAACGCACATTGAAGTCGATCAACACTTCATTAAGGAAAAGCTTCGTCTTAGGCTGATTTGTACTTGATACGTCAACACACATGATCAAGTTGTTGATGTTTTGACTAAGGGTGTAAGCAAGACTTGCTTGCAAAATATGTTAGTCAAGCTGGGCATGATAGATATCTTTGCACCAACTTGAGGGGGAGTGTTGTCAGTGGCTTATTTGTTATTACTTGTATAATGTTGGGGGCTTATGTGTAATTTTTGAAACTTATTATTATAAATAGAATGTGGTGGAAGGATGAAAGTATTCTTTCACTCTTTCCCCACCTCTCTCTTTTTCTCTCATCAGCTTGCTTCTCTTTTTCTTCTTCTTTATCACTTACTCTTGATTTGATTATAACTTAAAGTCAACACTGCCCCTATGTACTAATGGGCTTAAGAAGACAAATTGCAATGGACTCATTGATAAAGTCACTCAAAAAATTTCCAATTGGACCAATAACTTTATTTCTCTTGCAGGGAAAGTGGAGCTATTGAGGACTGTGATTTCTCCTATCCTTCTTTACTGGAGCAATGTCTTCAACATTCCAATTGTTGTAATCAACCATGTTCAAAAGTTGTGAAGGGATTTTTTGTGGGGCAGTAAGGACAACACAAAGAAGCCACACTTGATGAGTTGGGATCCCATACCCAGAACCAAAGAAGGTGGCTTGGGCATTAGGAAATTCACTGATGTTCAAACTGCAGCAAAATGTTCTCTGGTTTGGGACTTTCTTCTTAATAAGGACAGGCTCTAGACTTATTGGTTCAGAGATAAGTATGTTGCTGCTACTTCCTACTGGTATGCCATCCCTAGTTCTACTTGTTCAGTCATTTGGAAGAAAATATTGAAAGTTAGAGACCTTCTGTTGCAGAGTACATGTTTCTCTATTGGTGATGGGCAAACATTTAACTTATTTCTGAATCCCTGGTGTAATGGTCAGTCTGTAGCTCAGAGGTTTGGGCATAGGTTGGTTAGACAGTTTGACTCTTCCTAGAAACTCCAATCTTCTTTGCCTTCTCAACGATGGTTCATGGAATTTGGATCTACTGTTGGATGATTCTTTTGATCCATTCAGGGAATTTGTTTCTTCAATTCCCATTCATACAGGGGCACATACTATCTTGTGGGAGGATGGCAATTCTCTCTTAAGAAAGCTTGGCAATCCTGTAAGACTGTCTCTAATGTTGTAGACTGGCATGGTGTTTGTTGGGGTAAAAACATGCCTCGGTGGTCTGCGACTGCTGTGCTTGTGATGCTGGATAAACTCCCATCCATGGTTAATTTACAAAAAAGGAAAATCCAGCAGGCAGCTCGATGTACAAACTGTCACAAACAATTGGATACTAGAGATCACATTTTCTTTACATGCCCATTTGCTCAAGCTATGTAGAGATGGGGTGCAGTGGTATTCAGGCTGGAGATGCCTGTGCTGGGTGGAGATAATCAGTGGTGGGATTGGTACCAATGGTTCTGGCAGAGACACAAAGACTCCAAGTTGCTGAGAAGCTGGTTTGTTGCTTGTCTGTGGGGAATTTGGCAAGAAAGGAATTCTAGACTTCATGGATCTCTTTGTCAACCTCCTGCTGACGTTGCTTGGAAAATGCTATTTGAGGTTTTGGATGTCCACAATGTATCAGTATCTGAACTTCAGTAGTAGCTTTGATTCTTATCTTTTATGGCTGTATTGGAAATGGGCTTTCTCCTTATGAGAAACTCATTCCTTTTATTTTAATTTCTGAGGGTATGCCCTCTGTGCTCCTGTAAGTTTTTTCTTTTTATTTTCAATACACACCAATTAGGAAAAAAAAAAAAAAAAAAAAAAAAAAGCAGAACAACTTTTATAATATATCATTTTGTTATTTAAGACTCTTAACTCTACCTATGTGCAGTTTTCCCTATAATATAAGAGCTACCATTCCCTCCACAGAATAACAGACGCTAAAATTTGACAAAACAGCCCAAACTAGAAGGCACATAACTTACAAAGTAGAAGCAAAATGACAAAAATATCCAAACTAAAGCATAAGGTAAACAATAAACAGGAAATAAAGACAGATTTACAACTTAAATAAATGACTTAAAACCTATAAATAATCACACAATCAGATCAAATCATCAGCTGCCCCTCTTAATGCAAACTCAGTCTAGTCATCTTAGGATGCTCAGCTGTTTGAAGAAAGTCGTCCTCCAAGATAAGGACAGCAACCAAGCAATTCATATCTCAAAATATAACCAACAGGAGGTTGTGCTTCAGTCATGATACAAGTGAAATAATAATAATAATAATAATAATGTTTTAAGAAAGATATTCGGGCTTCTAACCAACGAAGGCCACATTACATACCAGCCTGTGAAAAAAAAAATATTTATTAATGGGTTGGAAAGAAAGATGGGCAAGGTGTTCTTCCCTAAGCTTAAAAAGGAGCAGTATGCCTCGAGGCTGTACTATTCTCCTCTCGTGTCAGGTTTGAGAGGGTAGGCACTTCTTATACGTACTGGGCAGTCATGGGGGGTAAGGCATTGAAAGATACAAGTGAAAAAAATAATAATAATAATGTCTTAAAAAAGATATTAGGGCTTCTAACCAACGAAGGCCCCATTACTTACCAACCAGTGAAAAAAAAAAATTATTAATGGGTTGGAAAGAAAGATGGGCTAGGTGTTCTTCCCTAAGCTTAAAAAGGAGCAGTTTGCCTCGAGGCTGTACTATTCTCCTCTCGTGTCAGGTTTGAGAGGGTAGGCACTACTTACAGGTACTGGGCAGTCGTGGGGGGAAGGCATTGAAAGATAGGAGTAGTAGTGGTAAGCGGAAAAGAAAAAGGACTGACGCAGGACAAGTAGTAACAATGTCTAGATACTAACCAATAGTAAACAGAAAGAAAGAAGGGGATGAGAATGAGAAGATGAGATGAGGCAAGACGAAGGAGGTTAGAAAATAGATTGAAGGAGGTAGGTTAAAAAGACTAAGAGATTAAGAACAACAAGAACAAGGAGGGAGAAGAGACACAAAGGGAGTTCGCAAACTCAACAATAATATTCAATATTCTCAATTGTATCGTACGTTTACAAAGAAGCCTTTATATAGGCAAAACCTTAAGGAAACCCTGATATATGAAAAATACTAAAATAACAATAAAAATAGAACATTGCAAAAATAATAAGAAATATAATAATTAGCCCTAAATTACAAAAAAAAAATCTAATTCTATTTCTCTTTTCCCCTCTTCCAAAAGTAATGTTGGAACAGGTGCAGCTCATGTGTGCAAATCACACCCAGTTCGCCATCAAGAACTCTATACCTATCACCAACCAGCCTAAAGTTTAGCTTTTCCTTAGCCTCAACAATGCACCCAGACCAAGAATTAAGGTTATACCTTCCATCTACAAAGGGAACCCCCACAAACAAGCAGAATACACCAAAACACAAGAGTTGGGTAAATTTAATATAATCCAACAATTTTTGGCAATGGACTAAAAAGTACATGAACTAGTCTGCTGATAAGTACATGAACTAGGCTTTCAGTCAAAATAATTTCCTAACTCAACTAGTCTGCTGATAAGTACTAATATATTGACTCTTTCCTATTCAAACAAATTTTATGAGATACAACGAATATTATTAATGGAAAAAAAGTACAAAACTTAAAGCCCTTAGAAATTCAACCCAATAAATATATACATATATTTTCTGACAAAGTTCTTTTTCGGAGACAAAAATTTACAGGGTATAAAAGGAATCTGACTGCTACAGATATGAGAATCAAAAAATTAAGTCAATTAGATGATGAGAAAAAATCCCATTTGTGAATTTAAAATCCATATGACTTACACAGTATAATTTTCCAACTCCTTCACAGCCTCTTTCATTGCATGAAGGGCCATTTTCTTCACCTGTTTCAAGTGGAGCAGAATTCAGACATTAAACATCACAAGATAAAAAATAATACATACTCCCTCTGTCCCAAAATTCTTGTCCATCTTTTTATTTTGGGATGTCCCAAAAAACATGTCTCATTCCAAAAATGGATGTTTTATTTTTTATATCATTCCCAAACTATCCTTTTGACATTGACTTGATTAAACAAGTGCACTAATTTCGGAGTACTCCTTTGTCTTTTAACAAGGACAATTTGGAAATTCACTCTTATCAATACAATAAAAAAAGTCTCAAAAACCCACTACCATAAAAAGTTGGGTTCCCCAAACACCCCCGGAATTTTGGGAGAAAGGGAGTAAAAAAACTAGCGCTTAGAGGAAAAAATCTTTTTCCAATACAGATTTTTCAAAGAGGTATTGTGCTATCCTAGACTTCAGTCTAGGGGTGCAACCGTTATGATCAAACCCACATAACAGCCATATAGATGCAAGTGTTACCAACCAACCAAAAATAAACAGTTTTCTTTAAAGGATATCCATGGTCCGAAAATTATGCAACACTACCACATAGCTGTTTATAAATTTGCAGTGATGCACCAGAAGTTTGCAAGTACTGACACAAAGTAGGCAGATATAAGAACCAACTCAGTAATGGCGGATCACAGAAGCTGTGCTGCAGGTGGTGAACAAGTGTTCAAGACGACGATGTGAAGTAACTGTCCAACAGTTGCCTCAAACCCTCACCAAAATGATATAGAAATAAGGTTTCTTATAAGCAGCATAACCAAATGAGACCAACCATCCATTTGACCAAAAAATATTCAACACTGTTAGATGAACAGTATAAATTTTTCAAATATAATTTCAGAATCAAATGCTACAGTTAACTCCAAAGGGAAAATGGGGAAAAAACAACAATCATATACCACCTTTGGATCAAGGAAAGCAAAATAATACAAGACGAAACAAGGATCATGTATCCTAATGGTACTTTCTCGCCTTCCAAAGTAGAAGATCAAGGGTTCAAGTCCCCATATGGGCAAAAGTTGGGGTGTGTGTGTGTGTGTTTCTTGCTGGTGAAAAATAATAATAATAATAATAATAATACAAGAAGCCATCTGAGAATTCAAGACATAAATGAAAGAAATGAGTTGGTATACCTCCAGCTTATCTTCTTTAGCCCTATGATTTTGGGGAAGTATGCGGAATTCCTCTGTCAAGCGAATGCACTCGTGAACATTATCAGGTGAGACAAAGTCAAGAGCTACCTTTATGCATGACTGCAAAAAGTTCAGGAATGAGAATCAGAAATTTATTTTTGACCTGAGCTAATTAGATAAAATAATATATATATATATATATATAACCAACAAGTAGTGCATTAGATATGAATATGTCTTGTCGTCCTTTCTCCCAGCAGGTAGAAAAAATCTAGATATAATGCACATGCTACACCACTTGAAGAATACATAAAAGAGCTATATGAATGAGAATGTCTGCAACAACAATACATGCCAATTCTTTGACACGTAAACGAGTGCGTCCAGCAAGAGAAATAGAAATACTTTCATAGTTTTCAACTGGTTATTTACATACTTTTCATATTTCCGAAGGAAATAGTCCGCCCCCAAAGAGGTTGGGGAGTGAACTTAGAAGATAAGCCATACTAAGTTAACTGGGCACTGCGATTTAGAATTTGATAAATCTCACACCTTAACATACATAGGTTTAACCTATCTAACATAAAGTGCTTGAAAACATGTGCTTTGGGCTCAAAATGTGTTGCAAAATCATTCCTCTTTCTAATAAATAGCAATAGTTCCCTCTCTCAAATAGCTAACAGTAGTGAGACCATCCAACAAGTTAATTATTTAAAAACATCAAGGTTCTTATCTAAAAACTAAGCCGAATAGTAGTAATAAATAGCAAACACGACTTCATTCACCTGTGTTCTTTACACAACCAGTCCCAAGCCCGGATAAAGGAGGGTTGTGTCAAGTAGCTTGACAGCCGGCGTAAAACTGTAATGACCAGTATGAACATGAATATTATGAATACACGAGTAAATGCAAGGGCGTTCCCTTAAGTGACATGTTGAAGCATCCAAATGCTTCGAAAAATGGGCAAGGGGCGCCACATTGATGTCTAGTTGCTGTGAAAATGGTCAAGGGTTCCCGTGTTTTCCTGGACGAGCACGGGTAAAAAACGTTAGCCCAAGATAGTAGGCTTAGAAATCAGTCAACCAATGATTCTGCACAATCAGAGTATCAATATGACGAGCGCCAAACCGGACAGAAGCAGAAAGCTAGTCAAGAACATACTTGCGTTAAGAGATGAAAATGCCAGCCTTGGACACCTCAATAACAAAGAAGTACTGAAGGGGACCAAGATCCTTAATCTCAAACTGACGCCAAAATTTAGATTAGTGTCATCTCTGGAAAAAACAATATCATTGACATACACAATGAGAGCAATTGTCTTGCCGCCTAAGTGAATTAAGAATAAGGTATGATCAGTTGCACTCAGAAACCAAATTGGAGCATGGGAGTACCAAAGCGATCAGAACAAGCTTGAGGGGACTGCTTAAAGCCATACATGGATTGGCAAAGATGACAAACCATCCTAGAATGTGCAGGAAAACGAAAGCCTAAAGGGCAAAACATACACACCTCCTACAAGTCACCATTGAGAAAGGCATTCTTGACATCTAATTGAAATAGAGGCTGAGAACAAACTGCAGCAACAGAAAATAATACACAAATAGTGTTCATCTTAGTAACCGGGGCAAAAGTCTCCTGATAATCTATGCCATGGGTTCAAGCATAACCCTTGGCAACCAATCGGGCCTTATATCAAGGAACTGGCCCATCTAGATTATGCTTAACTGCAAACACCGAACAATAGCCCACATAGCCTATCCTACAAAAGGAAGCAAAACCATGTCCTACGTTTGATTTTTTTTAAGTATCTGCAGTTCTTCAGTCATAGCGCCCTACCACTGAGATTGTGCTAGTGCATCTGCAATAGTAGAAGGAAGAGGAACCGTGGCAACATAAACAAGAAAACTCCGACATAAGGGTGAGAGCACAATCAAAATGTTTACCCTTCCAAAGAGCAATAGGACAAACATCAAGCAAACCAATAGCTTGAATAGGCAGAACTCGTGTTGAAGGGACAAGGTAGCATGTCGTGGAAGTAGAGGCTTAAGCCTGTTGTCTATAATTATAGATAAACCATTGACAATTGGGAGGATGGTAACACTTGTAACTTTTCTAAGATCGAGAAGAGCCCAAAAACACACATTTCAGTGCTTTGGGGTAAAGTTTTGTACGAGTCTACCCTAACAGTTGAACAAAGCACACACACCCAGAGGCCCGCGAGGGAATCAAAAAAGAGATTGATTGGGATGTCAGTTTTACAGTGAGGCTACAAAATTAAGAACTCAAAAAGGTGTCCAATTAATGATGTAGACAACTCATAAGTGTACTCTGTACCATGACCAAATCATAGTTGTTAAAGACTCAAGGAGCACTAAGGCGCCAAGGCCTCTTGGAGCCTGAGGCGCAAGTTGAGGAAACAACAAAAAAAAAAAAAAAGCACCCAATAAAGATGTGATATTGTGGCCTGAATTTGGTGCCCAACGACGACCCGTTGGAAAAATTTTTGACCCCTTTTTTGCTCATGGGTCATGGACCCTAATTAGCCTCTTGTAGCCCAATTTATAAAGGTGCTTAAGGTTTGGAGTGGTGCAAGAGAGAGACTTTGAAATTCGTACAGAAACTAGGGGTTGCAAAGTTCGACACGACCTGCCAACATGACACGAGTTAAATGGTAATGGGTTTACTATAAACGGGTTCGTGTCGTAAATGGGTTGACACGATTAACCCGTTAAGTTAAACGTGTCGTGTTCGGGTTTTAGAACTCAACCCGTTTTGACCCATTTAGTTAAATGTATCACCCGTGAACCCATAAAACCTGTTTTGACCTGATAGAGGACATTTAGGTCATTTCATAGTATACATAAGAAACTCTACATATCACATTATCACCTTTAGTCATTAGTCTCTCTCTCTCTCTCTCTCTCTCTCTCTCTCTCTCTCTCTCTAGCAAGTGATTCATTCTCAAAAAGAGAACACTCTTCACGACAACAAAAACAACACCGTAGTCTTTGGAGAATTTCGTAGTCTATTGTACGCCGCCTGCGCACTCAATCCACCTGCGTAGAGCTCTAGTCGCACAGTACCATCTACAACTCTAATTTTTTCGTATTTTTCTCTGTTAAACTAGCAAATATGTGATTTTCTTACTCGACCCCGTCACTTCCCACCGGCACTCATGTGATTAGTTACCTTACTTTCTCTCTCTAGAAAAATTTCCTTGCAGATCCGTACACCTCCACAAACCCAAAATCCAAATCTATCTTAGCCCGACACACAAATCTTAGAGGACCTTTTTTCTCTCTTCTCCTTTTCTACCAGGTTCGTTTCGTTTTATATTAATATTATCTACTCTCGATTTGATTCTCTGTTCAATTGTTGTTGTAATTATAGCAATCAATTTAAATTTTGTTTATTGTGGGACTCTGTCTAGTGTAGCTCAATGGGTGTTTCAATCTTCTGCTAATTACCGCATAGAACTGACTGATTTTGCAAGAATTTGATGTTTTTGTATCTGGGTTGAGTGGATCAATTATCAATAATTTTGGGATTATGAGTTGAAAATAAGGTCTGTGACACAGCTTGTTTAACGGGTCAATTGGGAAAAGTTTTTTTGTAATTTAAATTATTTAATGATTGAGGGACTTGAGCTGATTAGGATTTTAAAATCCGTGTTGATTTGATAGATGCAATTTAGGGCTTTAATTACCCTTGTTTTGTTTTCTGAGAAAATATATTGAAATTCTACTCAATTTAGTCTGATAATTGGACGATGCACTGTTGGGTTCACTAATTAATCTCTCTGGGTCCTAAGTAATGAAAAGTATAAGAAATCCAGATTTGGGGTTTAATTTTTGCTCATTGCATTGCAATTTGAGATCTTGATGCTTTGTTAATGTTAGGAAACCAATATTGAATCACGGTTATGATGTGTTATTCTTCAGGCAGTTATCTTCTCTGTTGGGAATTGACTGGCTTTTTGGTTTGAAAAGTAAATGACTCTTAATAAACTTCAAATTATATTCTTATTGCAGAAAATAGTGAACTAATAAATTTTTTGTGTATATTTTTTATAGATACAATGAAGCTTCAAATGGATGACTTGATTGATGATGTGATAAAACTAAATATTAACAATGATGATCCTGCTGAAGGGCCAATGTTCCACCAGTGCTAGCATGACCGAAAATTAAAATCCAGGGACTCGTTGCCTCAAGATTCAGTTTCAGACATTTCTATTAAACAATTTTATTTGGTTCTATAAAAATTAATAACTTACTTATCTTTTGTTTTTAATCTCTTTTGGACTAGAGTAATGTCTTTTGTTTTAACTTATGACTTATCTCAGTTTCAGACATTTCTATTAATCTTTTTTGTTTTCATTTGTTTGCTATTATTTTAATCTTTGGCCACATTAAACAGGTTAAGTTGTTAAACAGGTTAAACGGGTAAACGTGTTAAACAGGTCGTGTTTGGTGCGTCTAACACGACTCATTTATTAAACGGGTTACACGTGTCGTGTCGTGTCACCCGTTTAATAAACATGTCATGTTCGGGTTTAGGATATGTGACACAATTATTAATCATATCGTGTTCTGGTTGACATGTTTAGTGTTATACCCCTAGGTCAACACGACACGATGATAACACGTGAACCCGAATTGCCACCCTTAACAGAAACAAAGCAACGGGCTAAAAACTTGTAATCTCCGATTTGACACAGTGAAAACTTTCGCCGAATCCCAACCGTGGACGTAGGCTGTTACCGAACCACGTATAAATCTTTGTGTTCTTTGTGTGGCGTATTTACTTTTCTGTCGTGATTCTTGATTCAACTTGAGTTCGTTGCGTTTGTCATAACAAATGCAATAATAAATATATGGGTTAATTTCATTAACACCCCTCGAATTTGGCCAAATATCACACTGAAACATCTTTCGAAAATTACTATCACTTAGGTCAAATTTACTTTTTCATCCCTTACACCGTTAAAAATGTGCAAATAGACAATTTTACCCCTAATTTTATAATATATTTTTTTACAAAATATTAGCCATCTAAAATGACAATTTTACCCCTAAATTTTGTATTACCTTTTATTTTACTTTCTTTCTCTGTACTCT